GAAAAGGTCCCGTTTCAGTTAATCGTGATTAATTTCGTCAATGAATTTCGAAAGTAATCGCGTAATAATTGATCGATTACCGTCAAAATTTTAGTAGCTAATCTTTTTATGCGAATTTAATAAGTTTTCAACTATCAACTTTGAACGTTGATTTCAAAAAGTATCATTATGTTTGAATTGTATCGATATTACTAAAAATGACAGGCGTATCGTACTAACAGGAACGATAATAACGTTAGCTGTTCGAGAGTCCAACACAATGATTGGAAATCGATATATGTATATCGATGCTAATCAGTATGTTATCTGATTGACCCCATCATTAGAAAGCCATGAGCTCTCTAACAGCGTTAATCAAGTTTGCAATCCAAAGACAAATACACGTGTCTACGTGGCATTTTACAGGGCGACACACCCTCTGTTTTCGAGAAATTCGATGCAAGGATCGAGATGCGATCGTCGAGGAAGAATGGGGAAAGGCCACGGAAACTGCGAAATCCAGTGGCGGAGAGAAAGTCCCTGTTTCGCGAGATGCGAAACGCAATTACACCGGGCGATAAAAGTGTTGCTTCGCGCTGTAATTTAGAAATATTTTTACGTCGGTCTCGTTCTGGTCGGGAAACGAGAGCCTAGGAACAGAACCGCCATTTCGCCGGGGCAATTTATCCCCGAGTTTCCACGTTGCTCCTGTTTATATTCTACTTTTCGTCGGGGGAACTATCGCTAACGTGTTCCCCTCTCGATAACGAGAATGTAAAATTCAACCGTAAAAAAGACACCTGAAGAGTGTTGAGAAATCGTTGGAGGAAACATCAATTTTTCCAGGCCGGATCATTTGCGTTTCAAGGAGCGATTTTTTGACTATTTTTTATTAATTTCTTCTTATACAAAACCATAATTTCGAGGTTTTTTCTTTTTAAAATTGCTAATGTTTACTGCAGATATGCTAGATCCATCACCCCGTAAAATTTCTTTAATGCATTCGTTGCTAGATCAAAAAACAATATTCTGCAATACTAAAAATTTAAATTTCAGACCGTTGTAAGCTATATAATCTAAAATTTGTTTCAGTACTTATTTTTGTAATCTTGCTAAATTAAGATTTATAAATTTCGTTCAAATTTATTTCCCTCGACGTCTCAATTTGAGAAATAATTTTTCTAGTTCCCTAGAGGAAAATCCAATCACCCATATATGACATGGCAGTAAAGGTGTTAAAATGGGTAAGGTCTGCGTTCGAAACTTCCCTTGTAAGTCTTTCTAGGGTTAAAGCAGAAAGTTTGTCGGGTACAGGGAGGACCTATCGGCTTTAGGGAAGTTCAGTGGCGACTGGTCGCAGGCGGCGGCGAGCAACGTCGACGCGAGCCCTCTCGACGCCTAATTGAATAGCATTTTATTTAGCACAGTTCCCCGCACTCTGGATAGCCGCCATTTACCTCAATTACGTAATTCACCGTACACAACCGACCGCGCAGCTACCCACCATAGACACTGCATGGCGATGGTCATACCGTTGCCGATGGTGGTGGTGGCGGCGGCGGTGGTGGCGGTAGTGGTGGTCAACTGATGACACGTGTTTGCGCTACCGCCGCCGTGCAATTAGCCCCCCAATGTAATTTCGCGCTGTAAGAGCGTGCCATGCTCTTTTGGCCTAGTGCCGTACCTGAGGGCGCATCTGTACCCCCGTATTACCAAGAGGGAAGTGATTTTCTTCGGGAGACGTAGAAAAATTTGATTTTAAGTACTCCACCGCCGGCGATTCGTCAGTTATTTTTGCATCCGGTTTTCTCCATCGACGGATAACGATTCCGCGGCTGGGACTGGTCGTCCTCGAGCTTCTGACCCACTGGTAAAAATTCGTTGCTCTCTCGCACGGTCCCTAACCTTACTTTTTAACAACTCTCATTGTTGAACCTGAATTTCATCCCTATTATTTCCAGCTCTTCGACTTGCAGGAAATCGGAGCTGAAAATTCCTTCAATAATCGAAGGTGTTCGACGAGTGGTAGACCTACTCAATCTTACTTGTTCCTTAGCAACCACCCCCTTTGTTCGTAGACACCTTACAGCGATCGAGGCTCTCGAGCAATTATCGAGATTCTATTGTACAATGTCGAGTCTTCATTTAATTTCGCGTCTAGGTTTCAATCAAAATTCCTGTAATAATCGAGGTATTCGTCGAGTAGTTGTCCTATCCAATCTTACTTGTTGCTTGGCGATCACCCCCTTTGTTTGTACACACCATCAATACTATTCATCAGTACTATTGTACGGTGTCAAGACTATTTTCGTGCAGGTCTAAAGAGTAAAGAACTAGACATCGTTTAGAAAATTCTACCCTGTACTGCGTCACCCTGTACGCGCGTCCAAATAGCTGTAAAGTCCTGCGGGTGGCTTTGTTTACTTGGAAATCGTTCTTCCGTGGTTTTCATTGTCCAACGACGTGTAATTAATCTCACGTGCTCGGACGATTCTATCGGGAATAAATATTCGTGTAATTGAAGCATCGAGTAGGTGTGCGCCGCTGGAACGTGACGCAATGTTAATGAACGGGATATTATCCCTGCAACCAGTATCATTGCGAACGATACCCGTGGTCGGGGACGGTAATCGTGCTCGGCGACTGATTAGGCGTAATTATCATTCGGCCGAAGAAATGTCCCCACACTGAGCGGCCCGTCGCGCTGACAGCGGGCGTACGCTTCGGCTCCCGAGTCTTTCTCGTGATTTTTGCAACGGTAGCGATCAATTATTAGAAAATATTTTAAAAAGCATTATAGAAAGCGAAACTGGTAAAAATCAAGACACGAGTAGAAATTGGGACGTTCACCCTATCGGTGAACAATATAATAGCGAACGAAGCATGGTTGCTCCGTGGCGTACACAGAAGTCATTCGTCCGAGCAGCGAAATTGCAGGGGGATAGACGCGAAATTATTTACATTAAATTAATCGTTCGCTGGAAGACAAAGGTTGTTGGTGGGCGAACGAGAACGGCTGGTAAGCTTCAGATTATCCGCGAACGGGATCTGATCCTTTCCGCGCCTTCACCTGTCTACCGTGCTGCATTCGAAGATACGATCAGCGAAACCGCCTGTCGCGACGCTACAAAATTTCCTTCGTAAATTTTCTCCGGCGTCCGTGCTACCAGACTCCTATACCAACCGCGAAATTGTTCCGATAAAAAATTCTATTACCTATAATACAACCACCCACGAGATTGGCATCTTTCGAAGAAAATTTAGGTCGCGCTGCGTCGCGCCGTACACCCTTTCGCGGTATGCAATTTTCAGCTTGTTTCGAAACTGCCCTCTGAGAAAGCTGTAAATAACGTACGGAGCAAAAACAAGGAACGAAAATGGAAATATTTAACGTAAGACAATTTTTTGAGGATCTATCTCGGCTAATAGTTAGGAGTTGAAAACTAGATTTAACACTTTGACTGCCACGTCACACATATATGGGTGACAGGATTTACCACTATGATAATAGAAAAATTAATTCTCAAGTTAAGACGTTGAGGAAAGTAAATTTGGATAGAATTTTAACAAGGTTACAAATATAAGTACTGAAATAAATTTTAGGTTATGTACCTTAAAATGGTCTAAAATAAAAATTTTACTTTAGCAGAATATTATACGATTTTGATCTGGCAGTGAACGTGTTAAGTATGTAATTTATGTGGTACAAAAATCAAATTTATACGAAAGATCCTAATGGGGAACTATTGCTATTCTACTTGTTACCAACAACTGGTAGATTGTAAATGTCTTTATAAAACGAAGGAATGTATCTCGTCTCTTTGTAAAGAGCTCGAAGTTATTTCGTTGAATCGGTCGAAAAGTTCCGTTTTGAAAAATAAATCCAAGCGATTAGCAGCGTCGTTGCGTGCACATGAACGGAAAAACGTCGTTCGAGCCGCTCCACCTCCATCTGCCAGCGGTCCACTCCTTTCGCGGTGGGTTAATGGGCGGAGCCAAGGACGTTGCTGTTGCCAAACTGTCACGTTGACGTTCGACTGTCTTTCATTGGATGCGCGTTCCTGATCCTCGTTTCGACGCGAGCGTATATCGCATAGAAGTCCATCGAATCGTCGCCTAACGCCGTAATCACCAACCTTGAAGGTCGTAAAAGCATTGCTATCGGGCACAGCGATACGAAATATTATTTACTTACTTTCCAATTCCAATTAGTACGCCTGTTTCTATACTTGCTTTTTACTATTTTCATAGTTGAAAGTGACAATTTACACTTATATAGAGAATATATTATTAAAATCCATTATTGGGCGATCGTTTAAAACGTTTGCATATGGTCTTATTCCATGCCCACCGTCGTTGGTTAAAAATTCCTATCAGTCCGAAGCTGAACGTTACAGAGAAATCTCGGGAGAACGGTATTTTCGACATCCGAGTGCAATTTCGAGCAACGGAACGAAGGTCATAGACATCGGATCTTTCTCGTCGAACGGAATTCACTTGCGCTCTAGATGACACCGAGCCTTCAACCCTTAATTCCCGTCGTGTTCGCGGTCGATAGGGAACGGAGAATCTCGACGGTGGCCGAAACTCTGCGCTCCATGCATTGTAGAAGCGACCGCTCAGCTAGCGTGGTCTCTGTGTTTCCTCCCGAGCTATACCCCCGACGAAGTCTATCGAGAGTAGTGGCGGCATAGCGCGCGCACGACGAACGAAAAGGGCCCTGGACAGGTAGAGAGAACACCTCCGCAGTCGAAGGTGCCCCGAGGGCGTCAGGAAAATGTGGGCATGGTTGTAAACGGTGACCGCCCACGCGGACACCATAATGGCCTCCGCGCGACCAATGAGTCGGTTCGACGTCACGGGCGCGCAGTGGGGATAAGCGAGGCGCGCCAATCGGACGGCGTTGAAACGGCCGCGAGAGGCGTGGTCTCCTGTGGCGCCACCGCGGCGATTTTCAGAAACCGCGCACCGGGCTCCGGGGAGAGGCTCTGGCTTCATTATGTATCATTATACCGGTCCGCGCCGCGCGGTGTGCACTGCAGTTACTGGGCCAGGCGCGCGTGTGTGCTCTTCTCTCTTCCTCGTCGTCCGATCTCGTCCGTTCTTCTTTGCTTCTTCTTCTTCTTCTTTCTCTCTACGCTGGCCGGGCGTATCGTCGCGGCCGTTCTCGTCGTCACCAGGTCGGGCATCCACGATGCTCCATCGCGAATAATCACCGCGACGCGCGTGTAAAAAGCACTTGCTGGTTGCTGATCGAGCGTGCGCGCGCGCGCACGCGTGTGTCATCGGCGACGTGCAATTAAATCAGGGCTACGCAGTTCTCGCGAGTGTGCTGTCACCAGTGGCCACCGACAGATTATCGGTTCCCGTCGGAGAAGCTGGACCGACTCCGATTGTCCAGGATCGATCAGCCGCGTACCAACGGTCAGTGCCGCGACCGTGGCGCGTATCCGTCGACGGAACGTCATCCGCGGGTCAAAACAGTGACGGCGACGTTTCCATCGGCGATCGGGAAGAAGATCGGTCAGTGAAAAGAACCGGTACGCGTCGATGGACAGTTCGATATCGTCCAGCGACGTACGAAGCTACTCGTGGCTGACTATTCTGTGCGGTTGTCGAGCAACGATCCTTGGATTCCCGTCGCGAACAGCTACGCGGGTGAAGTGCTTAGTGATCTGACAATAGCAAACTCGAACTCGAACGCGAAGGAATTCAGAAACAGTGAACACGTGTGATCGTGTGGATGATCCTACGTCTATCCCAACAGTGATACACCCAGGACGAACGAGAGGACTAGTCCCGCAACGATCGGACAAATCTTCGTGAATCAAATGTCGACCGTTCGTATCTCCAAGTCCAGGACGCCGTGCCCGTAGTCAGTATCCACGGTCGACCAGCGTGAAATAGAGGCCCCAAGATTCGGGCCCCGTACGGCATTCGCGCGACGGCGGCGGCGGCGACGACGTCGTCGGCGAGTTTGTCCGCGAGAACCGTGGGCTGTGGCGGCGGCATCGACGTCGCGACTAAGGTGGAGCGTCCGGGCAGCACGACGACGCTCAACTTCACGGACCTGGGGAGCCCATTCGGGGCGGGCGACCCCTGTCCGTCCAGCACCCCGACCCCGAACAGCATGTCGGGCGGCGGTGGACCGTCGGTCGGCGGCGGTGGCGGTGCTGGCGGCGGCGGAGGCGGCGGCGGCGGTTCCGACATGGAGCAGCATCTTCATCACACGGGCCTGGGCTCGGTGACACCAGGACCCCAGGGTGGAAACGGCGGCGACAGCACCGCGTCCAGCACCCCGGTATCCCAAAGCGGCAAGTCCGCGTTCATCGAGCTGCAGCACAATAATCTGTACAATCCCGCCAGCCTGCGCGGCGGTTACCCCGGCGGGCACAACGTCCCCGGTGCCCATCAGTTCTCGCACCAGGTTGGCGCGCTGGGCCATCAGACGTCCGGGCCCGGCAGCGGGAACCAGCAGCACGCAGAGGCAGGATTCCCCAGTCCCAGGTCCGCGCTAGCCGGATATCCGTTCGCGCCCATGCACCAGCACAACGCCTACGGATATCACTTGGGATCGTACGCGCCCCAGTGCCCCTCGCCGCCCAAGGACGGTGAGTACCCTAACTGTATGTATTCGCAGCCTTTTTTATTCCTATTCTATTATAGACGATAATTAACCTAGATCCCGGGATCGAAATCGCCAGTTCGCCGCTTCCGTTCGGTCGTCTTTTACGGCTCGATAATTTCGATAAGCAAAGACCAACGATTGGACTTGGAACGACCTTCTCTCTAGCCGACGTTTTGATCCTCTGCTTTGGATCGTCTTTCACATAAGTCGCTCTAGGTTCGAGAACAAGTTTAATAAGATCGTCCGGGGTTAATTGCTTTCGCGCGGGGAAGACGATAAGGATGATCGGAGCGTATAGCTTGACTGGCTTGTGTCATCCGATACCGGTTAAACGTAATTAGACTGTGGAAGGACGATCGACTTTAATCGAGTCCAAGGATCTTATTTGGCTCGAGCGAAGGATCGAGAAATTCGGAGTATATCGAGTGGAAGCAGTGTTCAGTGATTTCTAGGGCCCGGGAATCATCGAAGAGTCTACGATGAAGTTCTGTGTGACTTTTGTTTACGGATATCATAAAGAACGTGAAATTTTTGACAATGTTTCGATTCCTCTATGTTGTGTGTGTTTTTCAACGATGGGGATTCACCGTAGGCTCTTCGAAACATTAGGTTGTAAGGCGAAGAAAAATCGAGAAACCGTCGTGCCAGCTCTACTTTCGCGTACCGCTCGAAGTTACGAAGAATGCACTTAAGCGATGTTCGCGATGCGGTAGCAATTCATCTTCTCATTCATAAAATGCGTTTTTATGATAGTAATGGCGTTAGTCATTAGTTTATGCAACATGGGATCCTGACCAACGGTGAACTAATCTTTTGCAAATATTCTGATCAATAAATACTCTTAGAGGTTTTCAACAATATTTTTAATTTACTTTTGAACATTCTGCCAGATATTGACAGAATTTGCAATCCACCTTGTAGTGCTGGTTATACCTAATCAAACGTCTCCGTTCGCCAGTGAATTTTAATCCAAATGGTCAGTTGTTTCACAACTTTTTCAATCAAGAAATCCTTTGTAATCAGAAATAAATCAAAAACTCTCAAAACTCTTTTATAAAATTCCGAGACCATGCTTGCAATGTTTCGTGGATCGAAAGAATTTGTAAAAATAATCTGACGTTCGTACAGCGTCAAGCAACAAAGACATAGCAGTTATTTAATGAAGACACGATAGAGAAGTTGCTGTAAATAAGCATAAACATTGAAATGTCATAGGGAGCACAACTCGCGTAATTAATGTGTTTCATCCTTGTCTTCTTCGAACGACGATCTGTTTCACAAGTAATTATTCAGGAAGTCGTTTTTAAAGCCTATGGAAAGTGTAGTAGAACTGAGTAACCATAAAACTGTTGCTACAGAGAAGGAACAACTCAACAGTATCTCGTTCGCCAAGGATGCGTCCGCACACAATGGTGGAAAATGACTGTTTTAGGTACTCTCGCAGAAAGGAAAATTGTTACGGAACGCGTTAGCTGGTGTTCCCTCGTAGAAACAGTTACGATTTCTTCCTTTTCCTAGGTTTTACTCGTATTTTTTGATCAATTTCTCGAATAATTCCGAAACGGGTAGTGGTTCGAAAAAGACAGAATTGCACTCGAGGTTTAGAACTTCGGTCGTGTTTATTATAACTTTCATATCGCATCTAAACTGAGTAACATGATGAAGTATTAGGGGGTAACATATTTTTAGATTAAAATAAAATTTTAGTATTATCCTGTGCTATCCTGTGCTATGTTAGTAATTTTTCAAGTATACAGTGAGACAGAATTCCCAAGGAGTAGTCGAAATGTGTAATTGTGAAATTGTAAAAGTAAATTTGATCATAACTGACGGTGAAATTAAATATTTGAGAGTTTATTTATGTTCATTTACAACGAGGTCCGTGCCAGTGAATAACATCAGTGATTGCTTGAACAATTTGCTCCACGCGTTTCCGCCATCTTGTAAGAATACCGCATTTTCATGGTTACTCTTGCCGATGTTCAGTTTCCTTTAAAATTCCAATGTGCTTTGGTAGTACGTATAAATAAATATGATCCACCATTTTCATTTATTTTGAATTTTCCCGGTGCAAAAAGTTTCTCAAGACCACTGAAATTCTTGCGCGGCAAAGAGTCAGTCTGAAGGAACGATTAGCGAAGAAGAAGAAATAAATTCTGTTATCTCTGAAGAAAGAATTAATGCAGGCGAAACTAATTATGACAGTGATTATGGAGATGTAAGCATTATTCATGCTTCTCTTACACTATTTTACATGGTAATGGACTACTTTTCTTAATAATTCATTACGTTCGTTATCAGAATATGATTCAAAGTAAATAATGATTTATATAACAGTGATGTTTGTAATTTACTACGAGTACTTGGACACTATATGACAGACGCTATAAGATAATAACGCGATTCTATTGTAATTCACGTACAAGTAATTACATCTCTCTACTGTATTTATACAATTCAACATTTTCTCTGTAATTTTTTATTATCAAATCACAATGTTTGAAAGATGGTCACCGAAAACGTTCGATACGGTTCTCTTTGCTCGATCGTTTCTCGCAATTTTGTCAACATCGATCGCGTAAGAAACCGGCGGTGTTGTCTTCTGGTGGAATTCGTCAAGTGACATACGGCCTTCCAATGCCAAAAGGTTCTCCACCCCTGGTCTATGCTGATTCCTTGCCGCGGCTGTTCCAGAAAAAAAAGGAGCGAAAACGGAAGAGGGAATCTAGAGTAGCAGGTAGCGGTCGGTCGTCGGCCTGCCCGCGGACGGGCACAATAACGCCGGGAAGCGGAATAAGATATACGGGCTAGGAAAGAGAATCCTCTCAGGGACCCGAAAAAGTCCCGCAAAGCGGCTAACGAACGAAACAAAAAGCCCCCGGCTGAACGAGAACAGTCGCGGGCTGGCCGTGTCCTCGAGAGGCGCTTCCAGATACATTCAGTCCGCCAGATACGCGACTGTTCTTCTTTTCTTCCGTTGCTTCTTCCAACCTACTCTTGGAATCGCATTAGCGCGACGGATCGCGACTTTTCTTTCGTGCGTGAAATCGCTAGTCAGGCTAATTATCGTTTCTCGTTTACCAGGCGGTCTTTCTTCGCGTCGATCATCCAGCCTCGAGGATGCATCCCACCGCAATACATATTATTTTATTTTGGAATCAGTTTAATTCTTTCAAAAATATACCAGAATTCTAACACCTTGCACTGCATTCAGAGGGTTGGTTTTTAGTTTCTAAATTGTTTTACGTACGAGCAAATTAAGGTAGCGCCAGACTAATCATCGTTATCTCTTGGCGTAAAACTTCCCTTCTCAATACGAATTATTTTGTTAAAAATAAATGCCTCGATTCTTTACAAAATATAACGGAATTCTAACGCCTTGCACTGCATTCAGAGGGTTGGTTTTTAGTTTCTAAATTGTTTTACGTACGAGCAAATTAAGGTAGCGCCAGACTAATCATCGTTATCTCTTGGCGTAAAACTTCCCTTCTCAATACGAATTATTTTGTTAAAAATAAATGCCTCGATTCTTTACAAAATATAACGGAATTCTAACGCTTTGCACTGCATTCAGAGGGTTGGTTTTTAGTTTCTAAATTGTTTTACGTACGAGCAAATTAAGGTAGCACCAGACTAATCATCGTTATCTCTTGGCGTAAAACTTCCCTTCTCAATACGAATTAATTTGTTAAAAATAAATGCTTCGATTCTTTACAAAATATAACGGAATTCTAACGCCTTGCACTGCTTTCGGAGGGTTGGTTTTTAGTTTCTAAATTGTTTTACGTACGAGCAAATTAAGGTAGCGCCAGACTAATCATCGTTATCTCTTGGCGTAAAACTTCCCTTCTCAATACGAATTATTTTGTTAAAAATAAATGCATCTATTCTTTCCAAAATATAACGGAATTCTAACGCCTTACACTGTCTTCGTTGATGTTCAGTTTCAAAATTGTTTCGAAGAAATTAAGGTAGCGAGTTACCAGTCAGGCTGATCAACGTTTCTCGGGTTGCTAGAGACTTTTTCCTAGCGTCAAACTTCCAGAACGAAGCATCGATCGGGTTCGAGACTCGCTGACCTTAACAGAAAAAGAGTATCGCTTCTCGATGTCCGATTAAAATCAGTGATTCGAGCATTTGCCGTCGACATTGTGACTCCCGTCGTTGATATCGCGCCGGTTTCCTTGATCGAACCGTCATCCTCGACACGGGCGCGTAGATGAACGGGATTCGCGATAGGAAAGAGCAGCGAGGAAAGAACAAATTGATCCGTATTTGCATGTTTCGAAGGATCCTCCGTCGGCTGGCGACAGTCCCGCGAACCCCTAGCGTTGCGTAAATTAATAATGAACGCGGAGTTTTTCTTCCTCTCCACCTGTCTCCTGCTCTTGGAAACGTCCAGGGTCCGGCGTCTTTGCATTATGAAAACCACGAACACATTTGCTGGACGGAACCACCCCCTTGCGCGGTTAGAACTGCAAGAGCATCGGTTATAGGCAATCCCGAGGCCAGCAGGCTTGTCGAAATTACCAAGGAAAAAGGAAGAGAATGTCGAGCATGGGAAAGGGTTCGTCCTTACGCGAACGGTTCTCCCTTCGTCGAAGAATCTTGCAAACGATCGTGTCCCCTCTGCACTCTCGGTGATATTTTCTTTTTCTCCCGTACGGCGATTTGAAAAGTTGTCCCGCCGTTTGAACAATCATGTGCCATCGAAGGGTTGCGATCGCGTTTTGATGCGTTCGTGATCACCGGTACACGGTCCTCCGGATAGATTACAGGTCATTTTCTTTAGCCGATATAACAATTTATCCGCGTTCGGTTTTCATAAATCATTGCGCGGACCAGAAAAGGGCTCTTGAAACATTGAACTATGAAGAAAAAAGGTATCGTGCATATTCTACAGATTGGAATTCTGGGACATTATAAAATCATAATAATTCATAGAAATTACCATTTCGTCCAGATTGTAAGCATCCATTTCATTTCAACGTTGTCGTTTTCTAAAGTTAGGAAATTTAATTATAAAGTTATAGGTCGGGTCATTTGAATTGGACGATGGTGAAACTATTACAATTTTAATTTTTTCGTGATTTTAAAACATTCGTTGTCAAATATACTTCGTGGATAATTGTCTGTAAAACAAACCGTTGCGAAAAGAATTGTAATCCAAAAAACTTCAGACGCGTCTAATGCAGCTTTCCCATCGCATGTCAATTTAGAACGTATTTTTTTCCCTCGTGTCACAACGTCAACGACCCTTTTGATCTTCTTCGCGTTTCCCAGAGTGCTTTCAATACCAAACAATTGTGGAGTGGTCACGTGTCACAACTTGGCCTGGGAGAGTTTAAGTAATTTAACACTTGAATATTTGACAGGTGCACGAACGCTAGGTACACAAACTTACTCGTATATTTATTTTATTTTAAGATAACGTCGTGCAATGATGAATAACTATTTATCCGATCAAATAAACGAATCAAATTTTACCCGTCTCTGGTTTCCATCTGCTATCGTTTCTCCGTTATCGTTTTAATTAATCGTAACATTGTTAATAATAAATTCATGCAATGGTTTCGCGCGGGCAATAAATTGCAAGAATCCAACAACGACACGATTCAATTAGATCCAATTAGCGTGTCGAGGTTCGGCGCTGTTGTTTCTGGGTGACGGCGACACGCTGATGGAGGCGATTGGATTAATTAAATAATAAATATCGTTTTGGAATCACGATCGAGCTAATTACCAAGGAGCACGCTATTGTTTGCACATCCTCCTCGCGGTATGGGCACCCGCTGTTCCGTTATTCGTGACTTTGTGAATTTCCAACGCGCCTAGAAGAGTTTATAAATGTTTCGATTTAAATTATACCTTTTCTTCGTGGAGTGTCCAGTGGCTTGGTCTCAGTTTTCGAAGACAAAACGACGTACAGAAGTCGTTATTTAGTCGGGTCTGAAAGCACAAACGACACGTTCTACTTTGTAACGAGCTTCACGCGTGTTTCGAATTATATTTGCTGAAAGATTCAAGCAGTCCAAACGTGTTCGGTGGTACCGAGATCCATTCCAGGCGCTTCTCGGTCGACGATGCCCAAATACAGCGGTCTCCTCGATTGTTGAACGCGCACAGGCGACAAATGGACCAGCCATTAACATTGTTGCGTTTAGTCCAGCCTTGTTCCCGTCATCGGCCAAGAACGGTCCCTGACGTTTCAAGGAGCCACGAACCAGAATCCAATTAGCCAGGGGGTGCCTCGTACTTTTACCGAGTTCTACATTAGTCACCGACCTGCCGGCTACGGAACCAGAGAGGCCAAATTAATCCGGAACGGTTCAAAGACAATGGCGCCTTCTCGAGTCTCGGGGCAGCCGCCGGGTTAGGGTGATGGATTAGGTATTAAACGGTTGTTTTCACAAGGATTAGGAGCGCCGAGCCGTAGCACTCCCGTACCAGGGATCGGGCTAGATCCCGACGGGAGGGCCTTGGACCTCGGGGATGGTGGTGACGACGACGACTGGAAGCCAGGGCTCTTGAGGATTTGCGCGGAAGTCGTGTTTTCTCCGGCGTAGATACATCCGTAGATATCGTGCGGTTCTCGCTGAACCGGATCCTGGGAATTCGTTCGTCCCCCAGCTGACAATGAGAAAAGTAGGGTTCGAACGCTCGTCACGCAAAGTGCACCGTGTGCTGCTCCGCAGGCCACGACGATAAACTGTTCGTCCGACTCTTGCTTTTTCATCGCGTTTCGCGGAACTTCGCGTCCCCGCCGACGAATTCCTGCTTTTCTGGTCCTCCTCCTCCCTCTCTCCCTCCTCCTACGGGGCGAGTCGCGGAATCGCGGGAACGCTCGAGAAAAGTTTTTCCACCGACCCCGAACGTTCGAGAAATTAGACTGGACCACGCGTACAACGATGATTCTTTGAATGAACCCCAGACGTGATTCGTAAGTTGAACGTTTTTATCCCTCATGGAGTCAGTGAAGCGTGAAGGACAACATTTAAAAAACGATACGAACTGGAAGGCGATGATTCGTAGAAGAGACAATACTTGTTTTCTCATATTGTGCTCTTTTTTGGTTGTCGATTATGGCCGTCGGTAAAAGATAAAGGCGATTTCGAGAGTGAACGATATCGTTGTGTTTAAATATCAGGTTTCGAATTTCGCCTGCGATGTATGATAGATGAACATGTCAACTCTGGAGTAGTGTTCACTTTACGAATCATTACTGAATTAGGTATATTTTTGTAACTACATTCTACCGCAACATTTAAATTTGAAATGTTTCATAACGAGTGCAAATGCGAATCTCGTCGATAGAGAAATTACAAGGTTTTCCAATGTATAAACAAGTTCATGAAATAATCTGTAAAGTATCGAAAATGCGTATTACCGATTTACTAGTCGATCCATATGGTGTCCAGTGGTTGACCCCTTTCAAGAAGCGCCGTTTCACATTATATTTAAGGGTTAAAACCTACAATTTAGCGAAGAAAGGAGCTTTCTTGATTTTTATTTCGTCATAAAGCGATCCCTTTGCGTCGCTGGTATCGTGATGTCGGCGGATATAGGTCAATAAATTGCTACCTATCGGAGCGATTATTCGCGGGAATAATCGGGGTTGGATCGATTTCGTGCACGCGCGAATCGCGCGACTTCGAAAACAGGGTGGTGGACGTACGCCGCGTACAAAGGGAGCCCAAGAACGCACCGACGTTCGCAAATGACCCGTGTGAATTACGGTAAAGTAGTAGGTTCAGGCGGTCGAGTTGTTTTCAGCGACTGCTTTGCATACTGTTGCTGCGTCCGACGACTATAACCTCTTACCAGTCGCGAACGGTGGCAAGAAAAATTGTATATCGTTAAACACGGCACCTTCTACCGGAGAACGCTGCTCGAGGGTTTATGTACTTCTGTCGGTCGGAGTTGCATCAAACGCTGTGATTAGGTGCGCTCGGACTGTTCGTAATCAATGGCAGCGCGGCAGTAAATTCATTGTATCGAGCGTGATTGGTGATAAGAGGGCAATTCGCGTCAATCTAACGATACATATTTCTCTTCGTCGTTTCCTTCGTTCGCGATTTATAGGCGTAATGTCGATGCGCGCGTTTTTCTCAAACGTCCAGTCGGAGACAGAGAAACATATTAACTTCTTTTGCTTATCGACCTATCCGATAAATTAATTAATAGGGTTGACAAAGACGTTTGAATTTTATTCGCGGCGTACGAGTATTCTTCGTTCGAACAGTACCAGTCCTACTATTTGCCAGATACCCGATGACATAACTTCGAAAAACGATAAACAAACGACGGCCAACGTTTATCGCGTCCACCTAGAAAGCATCGTCGCGCGACAGGTCTAATCTATTCGACGATGCGATACACGACGAAAGGGTGAAATCGTTTCATCGACCCAGAGGACACCGGTAACCTTAACGATCAAAACGAAGCTAGGTCTCGTCCATTTTTAAGGGTGTAAATGAAAATTCCATGGTCTCAGGTCGCGATCGATCTTGAAACTCGTTGATCTAAGGGTCAGGTCTCCACGCCCCCCTTTCCCCCCACACTTGAATGCCGGTGACACGGGTAGCAATAAATCACGAGAATCATACGGCGTATGCACGTATGCATGTCCGGCCGTTCGCCATAAATTACGTTAATTAATAGTCACGCTTATTATCACACAGCGAAAGGTTCCGCGGGCAGAGGCGCAGCCCCGGTGTTACGTTACGCGGATAATTCCGAGTTTCGTCGTCGACATCTCACTCCTGCGGACCAACAAAACCCCCACCCACCCCTTACGCCACGCCTAGCGTCACGATTTATGGTGGATTTTCTCGCGTTTCCTTGAAAATAACAACGGGTCCCCGACCGTCGGAAAATGACAAGGCAGCCTGTTTGGATTTCTAAATGACTGTGTTACGTTCAAGGATTCACACCGCGCCGCGTTACGGCTACATTGTAATTAGGGTATAAACATAATGGCGTGATCGCGTCGACGATAGCGTCGCCGGCTGGCACGATGCGTTTACTCAGTCAGCGCGTAATTATTTTAACATTAATTTATAACAATTTCTTTTTTTCCTCTTTTATTTGCTATTCTACTTTAATTAATTACGTCGTAGTTAGCGCCACGATATTGTTCGCGGCGATAGGGATCGGCCGGCGAATTACGCGGGTTCAACGATGATTTATCGCCTCGAACGTCTTGTCCTGGCGAGTTCGATGCTTCGCCGGTCCTGGCGTACGTTCCACCCTTGCTTCGTTTAATTTTATTTATTTAGCAATTTATTTCGTTCGCGAAGAGAGAACCAGCACACGCAAGAATTAGTATTAATGCACGCGACTATAATTCAATGCGTTCTTCGACTTATACACTGCAGATTTCATTGTTTCATTGTACATTGCTGGCTCTTTCGAAAATACCAGTGTTTTTCGAACAATCTCAAATTCACAATAGATTTTAAATGGTCCAAACAGTAGCCATCCGGTGAGTGTTAGACACACGGGATCATTCGAGTCCGATGACCGTACAATATCGATCTGAGAGTCTTTGCGCTTGGTTGCCAGTTTCTAGTATTATTTTTAGATTCATAGATCAAACTTTAACGTTTAATACAGTAGTTATCTTTTCTGATATAACTCCTTTAAGAATAAGCAGAAATTAGTGAGAACGTTGTACCCTGTAATTTGAGAGGGGTAGCTTGAAAACGAAAGAATATAAGAAATATTTCGACTAATTTTAGCGCGTAGATTCACTCGGATGTATTTGTAGATTCTGCGGCTTCCGGTCTCCGCGTCGATATGTGAGGTTTCCGTTCGCGTCGCGCCGGTGGTCAGGTTTCAGTTGCATTTCTCTTTAGTTCGTACGCCACCGGTGACGAGGACTCTGAAAGTTGATGTTAGGGTGGTGCATGTTCGCAGACCTCTCGCCGCTGGGCGACAAGGGCGGCAGCCTCGTCGACGAGCTCGGCGGCGGTGGCGGCGGTTCCCTGAGGAACGGCAAGGGCAAGAAGATGAGGAAACCGCGAACAATCTACAGCAGTCTGCAGCTGCAGCAGCTCAACAGGCGGTTCCAGAGGACGCAGTACCTGGCGCTGCCAGAGAGAGCTGAGCTCGCGGCGAGCCTGGGACTCACGCAAACGCAGGTCAGTCTCGTTTCTTTCCGTTCTTTTCCTGTGATCGATTCGCGCGAACCGCTGGCCAACCCCCTCGAACGATGTTCTCACGTGCAACGAACGAAATTCATGCAACGCTTGGATATATGCCGGTCTCGTCACGCGAATCAATGCGAGCACGTCGTTCCGTGACTCCTTGCGCTCCGTAGTTTATTGTATTCGCGCGGTTATCGCGGTAATTAGGCTTTGTTCGCGGTGAAAATTTTATACGGTTTATGGTAACGGGAGTATCGCTGAAAAATCGCTCGAGCGAACAGCGATCACTTCAGGGGTTGCAGAGTGTGGCGAAAAAGATCTCGCGATACTTTGCTATAACTACGTGAAAATTGGAGTACAATGGAACTTTGTTTACTCCAATTTCTCCGTTAGATTTACCTTGTTTACCATCTGTTTATCGCTGCCCTGTTGGTGGTTTTGCGATGGGAAGTTTAACTTTTAAAAATATTCTCTAGACTCCAAAGAACGTGTTGAAATCATTTAAGTATATTATATTTAATCGTAGTTCGTCTCGCTGGAACGAGCGATATATTTAACCCTCGGGCGATTACGACCCACAGGGAAAGCAACGAATAGTGCATATTATCAATGAACATAGAAATATCAACCGCGAAGAAGTGGTATAAATTTTGATACCGCGTTGTAACTGTGATTCGTGCAACAGGACGAAAGTCTAGATAAATTATTTCTGCACGTTTTCTACTATTACGTGTTAATAAACGGAACATTATATATCTCCCAAGCGTATGAAATACTGTTACGTCGACTGGTCTCGATACTCTGGTCAGATACATATAAAGTAACCTTAAGCAACTCCATTATTTTTGTACCGAAAACGTATTACGTATCACGAAGAATTACGTACTTCTCGAGCACACGACACGTGCATGTAAATATAACTTTGATAAACTATTCTACATAGCCTGTAGAGGCCACGATAGGACTTGATTCCTTTGGTTTGTAATACCGAACAGTGCGCGACAAAGTTTTAACAGTTACTGGACAGGCCTCCAAATCGGAAATAGAGGACGTTCGTTGGAAAAGGTAGAAATGAGGTTCGCGAAATGTTTGAAAGGTCACACGGAGTCTCGCGTTCACCCCTGTCGGGTGAACTCACGAGGAGATCCTGTTGCACGGACGGTCCGGCGTAACAGGACCCTCGATGGACGGCATCTGTCAGCATTATCGGCACAAATGACTTTACTAAATCACCGATCCGCCACGCCCTGGACATCGGGGATAGGGTTGCCGGTAGCGTCCAGCGGTGTACGAGGAAAGGAGAACCCAACGGGAGAGACTAACGAGACGCTCGTAAATATTCCGCGGACTGTTTCAGGCTTTTCACGACCGACGACTGGTTCGCGCGATCGTCGGAAGACTTTCCGCTAATTACCCCTGGCTGGTTTCCAATTAACGATTTATTAAGCCGTGCGGGGGAACCGCGGTCAAAAGCTAATTGGGCGCTGGTCGTCCAGGAGCCATGAATTTCTCGCGAATAGTCCCACGGTTTCCAATTACCGATTTATTAGACTGTAATCGTGCCTCTGAGTTAATTGGAGCGAACCTCCGCAGGACCGCGAATCCTCATCTTGGCCTCGTGCGTTGACGATTTATCGAGAAGCTCGGGGATCACGATCACCGGAGGGGCCAATTACGCGTTCGATCATCTTATTCAATTGTTCGTTGTCGACGAGGCACGAAATCTGGAGCACGACTTGGAAAAATATGATTTCTACAATGGGTCAGGGAACTCTCAGGATGATCTTACGCGTTGGTGTGGATAGAACGGAATCGAATATTGTTAAGTTTATATTTAAACTACTTTGTTAACAGACGAGGTTGACTGCAAATAGACAAGCCGAAAAAAAATTTTTAGAAAAAGTTTACCGATCCCAGATGTTGTTAGAGAAAGGACTCTGTGGAAAAAATGGCGCTAGTAGTGCCATCGATGGTGATGGAGATTGATTTAACCGCTCGCGACCCCTCGATCCCGAAGACGTCAAAAGGCTAAAGGCTTTCTCATAGGTACGCGCTTGGTGGTACGTAACCGAGTATCGCGTAATCACGGGATAACTGGCTGTCGTGGCTTGTTGATGTCATCGCAGGGGGTCCCGGACCGGATAATTTCATTAGTCTGAGCACCGCGGGAGTCGGTTTCCCTTCTCCCCATTGAGAGAATCGAGTCGCAACGCAAGCTGATGAGTAATCGCACCATCGCGTCAGGTTGTTTGCAAAATAACCACGTTCTCTCGTTGATTTTGAAAAGAGCATCCGGGGCAACTGTGATAGATCTGCATACACTCCGTTCGTGAACGCTCGTTAACCCTAGGAGGGCCCCGCAGCCTCGTCACGATTACATTCTCGGCAACTCCTGCTCTACGTACACCAGATATTTCTTAAATTATCAACCCCACCGATAGGTTACCAGCGTTTACATTATCTCTTAAATTGGTATTCGGGCCACAGTTCCCTCAGAAACCAGTCGTGCATTTTAATTAATTGATCCATAGGGGTTCATCTTTTACTGACAATTGTTAATATCGTCGATATTCCTGAAAAACAAGACAAACGTCCGCGTTTTCTTTTTTCTTCTCACCGCGGGGTAGTTGTTGGGCAAACCCAGAATCCGTAGAGGTTTCGCGCAACACGTTTGACGGTTATTCCCCGCGCGTATCGAAGGTCCGTGGCAACGCGGCGAGTCGCATGGAAGCTAGCGGCCGGCGCATCTCTCCAGGGTGCAGCGTGCATAATCTGTAATCGGCCAATCAAGGCGTTCGAGCAAGCGCCTCTGCCTGCACTGTTGGCCCAGCTACCGTCGCATCGGGTTTCTTGTCATCGCCAGCAACATGGCGCCTGCAGCCTTCAGACTCTTCCATCTTCCCTTTGGTCGCTGGGTCTCCTCCTCCCGCTTCGGTGGCCGTCGGATCTTCGCTCTCTCTTTCCCTTTCTGTCTCTGTTTCGCCAGCGTCTTCTTACTCGTGAGCGTCCGCGTCCGCGTCCCTCCCCCTCCGTTACCACTGGCGTTCAGACTTCTCCACGGAAAACGACGAAAACGAGGGTTGAAGGAACGAGAGTAGTGAGGCCACGCATCTCTTTTTCTTCGGGGCTTCAATTTGAGGACGCGGTGGCTTATAGCGTTTCGTGCCGCCGCTGTATGCGAACGAGGGGAACAGAGGGGGCGCAGGGTGGGACGGGGAACGGGGGTAGGGCAGCGGAAGAGGGGTGGGGGAGGGGGCAAGAAAGACAGGGCGTACTTGTGCACGCGAAGTGCACACCGTTGCGAACCGTCTCGCGTGTACGTGCAAGGGGGATAGACACGTAGAACGCGGACACGTAGGTACCCAACAGAGACCGTCTGCGCGTTCCTGCCACGTACCTTGGGCGTGGTGGTTCCTTTTTCTTCGTCTTCGCCGACCAACGTGGCCGATCTCTCCTCATTGGCCCCGGGAATGCCAACGCGTCGAAACGAGATTCGAAAGTCGCGCAGGAGGGAAGCGGACACGCGAAGTGAATTCGAAATCTGAATCCTCGGCCAACCACCGTCGCCCAAAACCGTTTCTCCGGGTCTCAGGCTCCGGGTTCTGCTCGGGTTAGGGTTAGGGTGAACGCTCCCCAAGGGTTCTAGATGTTGCGTCGCCAGGAGCCCGCTCGGAACTTGGTTCCTCGCTTAATTTCTATTTTTTACAATTCTCAAGATAGTTACCAGGGTTAAGACACCTGTTCACGAGCGTGATCTTAAAATTTCAAAAAATTTACATGCAAGGGTTTCCAAAGGTAACGATGGATCCGACACTCTTTGATTTTCACCGTAATTTCACGTAAATGTAATTTTAAAAATTCTATTACATTTATCGAGCCACAAATAACTCTAGGCACCTGAAAAATATTTTCTTACCTGAATAGCATGGTGTATGAAGGGGTTAAGGATTAAAACCACTGTCCTGCTCTTGTTCCCCAACGCTGACGTCGTCGCGCAAATCGAAACAAACCCGGTCTCGGATTCTTCGTGTCTCGTTATTTATTATTGATAACGACGATGGAGAAAGACCTACGCCTAATATCCCGTGTCGTCATTGGCGAACGATCGAATCGACCTATCCTCTTTGACATCGATCAGTTAACTCCTATGGTCCGGGAATAAGATAATGCTGTCACTCAAGGGGCGACATATAAAACCGTTCATCGATCGCGGTGCGACGCCTTTCTTGCAGGGCTCTATGACTGCAAACGCGAGAATACCAGCAAGATTTTTACCATCTTATTAAAAGTTACTCTCGTACTCACTGGACACAAATATTTATAGAATTTTTATAAATCTATTCTTAACGATTCCAAGTATAGACAACTTTTATTATTTAATAAGACGTTTCGGCCTCTTTGGGTTTCACAGTGATCCTGATTCCGTTTGTTCATAAATTTTTAAAATCGTTTTACTAGGTCAGAACATTAGAATATGCTGCGGTGAACTTGTTCGCTCGGCTCTTCGAGGTCTATATTGACGTGGAAACTCGGTGTTCAGGGACACGAATAAACCGTAACGGAACATTGTCTTATGCAATACTTTTTCTACCAGCATAGACATCTTCGGCGTCTCTCAAACGCGACTAATAAGTAGCTCGTATCACGCAGCGAATCGCGAATCAAGGTCTCGCTGATGAAGCACGCAATGGATCGTGCTCGATCCGTGGAAAAGCTAACCGTCGCGACGCGTCGTCCTCGTGGAAACTCACCGTGCAGGGCAGATCAGCGCGTAGATTACCGAGTTGGGCAAATTTTATTCGCGAATAACGCACAAAAATTTCAGATTCGTTCGTAAATTAGAAGCCATTTTTTCGAAGCAGATGTCTGTAGTTTCTGTTTTGTTATTTCTGTTTTCTTGGTAGGGAAAATAATTTTTTAATTCAATCCAATGACCGAGATCTTCGCGCACGAACAAGGAAGAAGGTAAAAAAGGAAAGCGTTGACGAAAAACC